GTATATAGACAACATATGTAAAGATATTAATCAAAAGTTTGATCCTCGCATTTTGACACAGAACCAACTTCGCTAACGAGAGAAAAAAAATCGTTCACTAATTTCAAAATTTTGTTTTTTCGTGAAGTCTTTTAACACTTAGTTTCCAACTTTCTTGACATATTCCAAGTCTTTTTGAGAAAAAACTTTGTTGATCAAATATACAAAAACAGAAATTCAGCTTTTTTGTATATGATAAATATTGCTGTGGTACAAAGTGCCAACCTAGGTTTTTTAAACAAAATGCCAATCGAGTTTTACTTCCACGCGGTTTTAATCACCACGAGGCTTAGTTAAATGCTTAGTTAAATACTTAAAAAAAGATAAAATTTAAGGCTTACACAAAGAATTTTTTACAAATTTTTTCTTTCATCTCTTTAATCCTTGACTTTTGGATTTAGATTTATTACATTGATAGTAACATTATCATATTATTATTTTTAGATTATTACATTGTTTGATATTTTTTTTTAATTTAGACAAAAGCGACAAAAAAAGCGTCTCCCCCCTATCCTTTAGGATTTTAGAGTCACCATTAAATTTTGACATAAGTTGCAAGAAGTGTCTCGCAAATGCCATTTATGTTAAAGTTAGTGTTTACGCAATCAATAAGTTTAATCTTCGTATCTTTATTTAGGGCATTAAAAGTTATCATTTAGATGTTTTCATTTGATTGAGATTTTCTTGCGTTATAAACCGGATAATAGTTCTTATGAACTGTAAGCACGCAGATAAAGTGTGCATCAATATCCTAAAGACCCGTATTTTACGGGTCATGACAGCTAGTATATATATAAATCTTCAATATAATAATGCCGAACTTGATAAAAACCCTTGACACAAAACCCTTGGCAGCCATCGCAACTGAGGTAGTGGCGAGTGAGAGTTGCAGCACTTTGTTTTTTAAGAAAACGTGAATGAACATGTATGCAACTTTCTAGCGTATGTAAACTTTAAATTAAGTAATGTTAAAACATACTGAAACATATTACAGTTTGATTTTCACTTAAAAACTGCATTGCGTCAAGCTCTCCTTAACTTTGATGTACAGCATATCTTTCCATGAAAAACGTCATTACATAGTTTTAGAAATTTTCGTTTAACAATGTGCCAGCGTGGCCGAGTGGATAGTGCGCTTAGCTTTTAAACAAGTAAGCCCTGGTTCGAGTCCTTCCATTAAAAACTTTTTTTTAAAATTTTTTTTGATTATTTTAAAATACAAAATACTTTTGAGTTTTTATAGAGTGTTTATAAAAACATATGTAATGATATTATACACTTAAACGAACGAAAAGATTTTAAAAAAGATAATATTTTTAAAAACATCAAAACACCGGGAGAAAAAAATTGTTGCGTATGTGTCATGATTGAGATACTGTTAATAACGTGTTTAGGTAATTAGTCCTAATAAGCTGCGGATGGTCTGAAAAAAAAGTTTTCTAAAATTTAATTAAAAAAAAAAACTTTTTAAAACAGTTGTGCTACTCCAGAAAGTGCTGCAAAAAAAAAAAAAAAAAAAAAGTAGTTAGAAAAAAATTTCAAAATTACTTTTGATAATAAATAGTTTTTTTTGCTACATTTATTTTTTTACAATAAATATGTGCTGCAGCTGTTTTTCAAAACACCTTAATATGCTTATTACGTAATTTTAGAAAAACGTAATTAAAAAAAAATTATTAAATAGAGATGGTTTTTTAAAACAAATAATTTTAATGATTTTTTTCAGAACTTTTCGAAAATATGTATTTAATAACGTTTGTAGACATATAAAGTAGCTTATTTTGTAAAAAAGTCAAAAATGATATTTTTTACCTAAAGGCGTTTTGAAAAACGGCTGCAGGGATGACACAACGAATATGTTGAAATGAGATAATTTGACGCAAAATTAAATAGCTCTTAACAAAAACTAGTGAAAAATTTTGTTATAGTAAATATAGTAATTATAATTCAAAATTTTATTATTGTACGTTGGTTTTTGCAAAGAAACCTTATATAAATCATTTTTTAATTTTGATATAAACTATTTTTTTTTAAACTTAGTTGCGCTCAACCATCTTTATGTAAACGATGTATATATAAACAAATATGTTATTTGTTTATACATATATTGTTTATAAAATGTCGAAAATCCACTTATGTAACGTTTTAATCAGGATCGTATGTAATATAAGTAAACTTTTCTAACAATTACGAGTCTTTTTTGCTCTAGCTGTTCTGTTTTGATTTTTTGTAGTTATGTTATTATATTTGAATAAATTGACAAGATTGAAAAAACACAAAGCATATTGTCACTTCCGAGTGGAAAATTTGAAACTTCATCTTTATGATTTGCCCCTCTCTTAATAATTTCTGATTGCTAAAATTATGTTATCTGCTTTATAGACATTTAAAAATGATAGTCAAAGAAATAAGATTTTGTTCAATTTTTTTAAAAAGCTCTATCTATTAAAGATATATGGAATATATTTTTGTGGGATATATTCTAATAAAGTCAAAAACTATTTATTTATTTCTATTGTAATAAATACAATCTTCTATCCGTGAGAATAATATATCTGTACCAGTTTTATATATTTTTATGCATTTGTATGCAACATAATCAAAATTAATTTAAAAAATGTAAGATAAATGCAAAAAGAAACTTGACGCATAAAAGTTTATTTTGCAACAAACTGACATCAATGCCCAAAATCTTTTTGTTTAAATTTTAGATAAATAAATTCTTAATCATAAGAATTAATTTCTTGCTTCAATCTGCTTAGATCTTCTTAACTCCATTTGTATAGCGTTACATACAAATGTATCCAAGTGTAAACATCTTTAGCATATGTTGAGTTTCCAGGCATTATATGGAATAATTGCGTATATCTATATATCTATAAAATGAGAAAACGTGAAAGTTTTTATTTAAATTTTAGAAATCTTTGCTTATATATTATTATTTTTTTGCTATGAATATATAAGTGAATATATGAGCAAGATTAAAAAAATTTCAAAATTCATTACACTAAGAGGAGGTCTTAAACCTTCCAAAACAACACTGATGGCAGCACATTTAACCACTGAGCTATCAATGAAATGCATTTAGTAGAAAAAAAACCTCATTATAAGTTTCTTATAAGCTCTACATATGTGGAAAAGATCTCAGCTAATATATATATATATATATATATATATATATATATATATATATATATATATATATATATATATATATATATATATATATATATATATATATATATATATATCAGGCTTTCCCAGGAAAGGCGTGTGGTCGCACGTCTTATTTGTCCACGCATAGAATAAATTTTTCTGACTAACTGACCACGTTTTATTATTATGCGTTTCAAGAATTTGCGCCAAAACAAAGCTAAATACCACAAAAATGCAAGCAATCTTAAAGTAAATAAAAGAAATCTGTTTGTGCTTTCAAATTCAAAAATTAATGTATATTATTAAAAAAAATTTACCTATATTTTATTTATTTTTTTTTGTTTTTGTTTTTTAGGGCGGTAGTTATTTTAGCTATGAAAAATCAAATCAATAAAAAAATTCAAATCAATAAGAAAAATCAACTCAAAAAGAAAAAAATTATTTGTTTAATGAAAATAAAAGGACCTTTTAATGTAAAATTTGTTTATGACTTTTATCAGTCAGTAATACTTTAAAATTCACGATAGAACTTTAATTAATTTTTAAATGTTTCGTAAATACATTTAAATGTTTAAATGTAATAATACGCAAGAAAGCACAAAAATTATTTATTAAATTAAAAAGCTATTTATTTGTAAAATGTTTTTTTTTCAATTTTTAATTGAAAAAAAATTTTATTGTCAAACAATTAGGTTGCTTGTTGTGCGATCATTAATTGACATTGTGAATAATGTCTTGAAGGAACTGTTTTCGTAACAATGACAACAGAAGCAATGCAATTATTTTTTTAACTTCTTTCGTAATTACAAAATTATGCAATTGAATAATTTCAATGTAATAAAAGGCGAGCATTGACTCAGTATAATCAGTTTAGATAAAGTTGAGAGAGAACTTTTTTCACATTAAAATTTTGTTATTTTTAAAATCTCAAATAATATATTTTATAATTAAAACAGCAATTTATGTCTAAGTATTGGGGAATAACGTCATCGCCTTTGCATAAACCTTCGTAAAAACTAAATTAAATGAAAAAATTTAATTAAGTTTGTCTAGCGTAAATAATGAATCAGTTTTTTAAATGTGAATAAATTATGTATCAAGTCTTTTTATTTTCGTGAAAACTTTATGATTTATTGTCATCTTTTCCTTGACTTGTATCAAATTTCGTAGCTGAAAATAGCAACCCTAAAAAAAGAAAACAAAAACAGTATAAAAGTTTTGAAAAAAATGTTCAGGACTTTTTTTTTTTTTTTGTTACAAGATTTTTTTTTTTTTAAATTTTTTTTTTATTATCAAAATATTTTTCTTACATCCAATTTCAATTTTATACTTTGTTTACACTTCGTTTCCTTTTTTTAATATTATTTTTTATGTATATATATATATATGTTGTAATGTAGTGGTAAAATGTTTGCTTCATAAGCAAAAGGTTCTGAGTTCGATGCCCACCAGGTCCCTAGTAGTACTGCGCTCAACTTGTTTCTCCGCGCAGCGACCTTGTTTGTCCTTGTTATATATATATATATATATACATATATATGTATATATATATATATATATATATATATATATATATATATATATATTATATATATATATATATATATTTATATATATATATATATATTTATTTATTTATATATATGTATATATATATATATATATATATATATATATATATATATATATATATATATATATATATATATATTATATATATATATATATATATATATATATATTTGTACACATCTATGTGTAATTAAGATTTTTTACTATTTATGTAAGTATATATTTATATTTAGGGTGCAACTGGAGAGCCAGGCATTCAAGGTCCACCTGGTCCAAGGGGTTTGCAGGTTTGACTTTTACACAAAGTTGTTGTGATCTTGTTAACTTTTTAGTGAATTATAACATTTTATCAATAAATAATAAATTTATACTTAAACTACTGTGAATTCGGTATCATATGACTGTATCATGTAACTACATTATCATTTTATATCATTCTCATCTCCTCATTGCAATGTGGTTTCCATTATCATCATAAGCATCCTCATCAGCATCATAACAAGAAATCTTTAATTTAATTATAGCTTGCAATTCTGTGAATCATTCATAGGGATTTACTGGTCAACCTGGTCCTCAAGGAAAACGTGGTCCAGTGGTAATTTTGATTTATTTCAAATTTTGAGAAATGTAATAATTTATATATATATATATATATATATATATATATATATATATATATATATATATATATATATATATACGTAAGTGTATATATGTGAATATTAAGGATAGTATTTTTATATTATCATGTATAATAATGTATATATTAATAATGTATATAATGAAATATTTTCAAAACAGGGACCAATTGGTGAACGAGGTCTACCAGGAGGAATTGGTATCCCCGGAGCAAGGGTATTAAATATTTTATACTTTAATTTTTATATATTTTCTAAATTTATTTGTATTAAGTCTATGTTATTATTAAATCGTAGGGATTTATTGGTCAACCTGGAAATCCAGGTTCACCGGGAGATAAGGTACATGCATACTTTTATTTTGTTTTATTTTAAAATTGTATATATATATATATATATATATATATATATATATATATATATATATATATATATATATATATATATATATATATATATATATATATATATATATATATAATTCTTTGCAATTTCTAAATACTGAATAGTGAATATACGAACATATTCATATTTGTTCATTTGTAAATAATACCAATAAGCTCTGTCTATTGCTTGCAAATGGCTGCACAGACAGGATATTGTTTTGCTCATCTATGTAAATGATTTTTTAGTTTAGAATGGGTTGGCAATTTAAAGATCTTGATATTTGTTAGCAAATGTCAATTTTATTTAAAATGCTCTGAAAAAACTTATCCTCTAAACTGCTTTTCACGAGAGCTTTTGGTTTTTGCACAAGCTATATAGTATTTATGTAACAATTGCTTAATAAATACAAAATTTGGTTTTATACTTGTAACAAGCATATATTTGTAATGTTAATAATACAATAATATACACATAACAAGTGTCATTTATTGCACTGTGAAATAAATAATTTAACATAAATTTTTTTTTTTTGCTGAATTCATGCTTGTTTTTGCGTTTTTCATTTTAGTTGCAATGATAATTAAACTTTAGAAAGAAAAAAAAAACTTTTATATATATATATATATATATATATATATATATATATATATATATATATATATATATATATATATATATATATATATATATATATATATATATATATATATATATATATATATATATATATATTATATATATATATATATATATATATATATATATATATATATATATATATATATATATATATATATATATATATATATATATATATATATATATATATATATATATATATATATATATATATATATATATATATATATATATATATATATATATATATATATATATATATATATATATATATATATATATATATATATATATATATATATATATATATATATATATATATATATATTAATTTGGAGATCCTGTACATGTCTAAAAAGTTGCGTTTTGATGTACTCGTTTAAAAAAACCTCACTTTTTATTTTATGGACAGTGTCTACAGGTCCCAACTCTGATTAGAAAGACTACATAAATACCCAATATTAGTGTAATGTATTGCAATGTATTACAAATTAAAAAGAATGTAAACTGTAACGAATCAATGTTAAACAGCAACAATACAAAGTTGTTTAACCTAACTGTTAATAAAATCTTTCTTGCTGTCTATTTTTGGTATATCTAATCTGGATTTCTTACTCTGTAACACCATGCCATGACGGGACTTTCTCCCATAAACTTTACAGCTCGCAGCGCTAACGTCTTTAATTGTTCTCTCTACTGTCTGTGAATGACATTAATCATCGGGCAGTAGTATTGGATGTGTGTAAGTAAGTTGATCATTTGAAAGGTGTGTTAGCATCAAAGGAGACGTAACATTACTCTGGTCCCAGTCAATCATGTTAATGAACGATGTCGCAGCCAAATTTAATGTTATATCCTTCTTATCAAAGACGCGAACCGGTATGTTACTCTTAGTCTGCTTCTCTCTTGCTCTTATTATTTGTTCTACTGAAAAACGACGAATTTCCATATCACTATAACTAACTGCAGCTAACAGAATGTTTTCAGCATGCGCAAAGTAGCAGTTATTTTTGAGAATAGGACAAACCACAGCCTGATCTAATGCATCAAGTTCCTGAAACAACTGAACTAAGTAAAAGAAGTTGTTAGCACCTTTTTGGCATGAAGAATTTGATTTGATTTTGAACTAAGAGGGTTCATAAAAGTTCAAAATGAATGTGTTACTCTTCTGAGAGGTTTAGATGCCACCTCTCTAGACATGTAGAGACGCAAAATCCTGTTGGCTTTCGTCAACCACCGAGCTTGACTTATATTTCCAGGTAAACTCTTCTCGAGGAAATCAATATCTGTAGAAGCCTGACGTCCACGCTGAATATGCTGACTACTGCTAGACATGCTTTCAAAAAGTACAGTTGGTCTGTGCTAAGATCCTTCTTGACAGCTTCATCACAATCAGTCACCTTACCAGTAATTGGCAATTAATTGGCAAATAATTAACGACAGGCAATTCATTCAGATCATATTCTAGAGCTGAGCTAATATACCTGTCGATGTGGAAGGTCCTGTAGTTCGAGCAAAATCCACGCCTGCCAAAAACTTTCTAAATGGCAGCTCGTTACAGTGTAAAAGGCATACCAACCACTGTAACGGTCTACCTAAGTTCTCCTCCAATTTTCTTATGATTCCGTTGCTTTTACCTGTATTATTATTTGTGCCATCACACACAACACCTTGAATGCTTTCTACAGAATCTGTCTCTATAATAACTGACATTAACTCCTTTGTTATATCAGCAGCTTTACTACTTTCAAGAACTACATGATCGATTCATATGTTTCCTGGATACGAGACAATACTATAGTATTCTTCTTTTTTACTTCTTCCACAACCAAAACTCTCAACTAATGTAACGTCTAGTTTTCCATCAAAGCCTATACAGCACAATTCCTTATTGCTCTGCATATGTTCTTCAACCAGAGTATCTCTCTAGAAATTCCTTTGTTGACGTAGCTTTGAAGGATCAAGAATTGTTGCTGAAGACAACATACTGAGGTCTTTTAAAACAGCATTGACAATAAGACATGTATCTCTGTTGCTAATTTTGCATCGATCAACTGCTTTACATAATTTCTTGTACTTGTTTCTGTTCTGCATTGATACTGTCTCTTCCTCTAATGTATAAGTACTTTCAGACGTGTTATGGTTATCCTTATTAATGTCATCCTCAGTTTCATATTCAGCCTCTTTTGACTGTGGTTCATCACACACTGATTTCATAAATTTGAGTTTTTGTCTCTTTTCCAGTGTTGCTGTCGTTTCTTTGTCTACTCCACCAGTTATCATATTTCTAACAGATTTCTGTTCAACCCAGAAATCCCACTCTATCAATGGAATTTTATTTGGCAGTGGGCACGTGCATAAGTTCCTATCTCTAATGCCTAAATCAAATCATTTGCAGGTACAAATTTCAAATAACTGCTTAAAAGAATTCAACTTCTCAGTGAAAGTGTCTGATGTTCTTTTTGCATTGGAATATTTTTCAAGTGTATGTACTTTATCCATAAGTCTTATAATCCTAATGATTGTGCTATTCACTTCTATTGTGGGAATACTTGCTTTTGAATAAACACATTTCACTCTATAATAAACACATTTCACTTTGAAATGTGTTTATTATAGAGAAGTGAAATGTGTTGAATAAACACATTTCACTTCTGCTAAAATTGAATATCTTTCTTGCAAGCTAATTTCTAATACTGTTTTCTGATTATAATAGAACGTCTTAATAACGTCTTCATATAATGGGATTTGATTTTCAGGAAGATCAACTAACTGCCTAAACAATGGATGTTTAGTTGCACTTCGTGTACACATACTATCCATATTGAATATAATTTGTCTAAAATAATAAAAAAAAACTACAACAAGTTATGTTTACAATGAATAAAAGCTGTTAAAACAATTT